GCATTCCTGGAGCTTCACCCAGGTCACTAGTGAGAGAGGGACAGTGCTGAACAGCCCCGGCCCCCACCTTCCAGGCAGTTGACTAAAACCAAACCCCACCACTTCCCTGCTGCTGGGTAATGAGACAAGGGAGAACTGAGGAGAGGAACTAAGGTTTGGTTCAGCCTCGCGATGGGCCAGGACCTAACTGTGGGTTTACTGCTCACGACAATGCTGTGAGGCTCAGTGGCCCCACTTTTCACAGCCGGAAAGAGATGCTCTGGGGGGTGAAGAGACTGGCTCAGGGACCCTCGTTTTCAAGCTGAGGTCTGGCTCTCTCCTCCACGCCAGCTGCCACACAAGAATTGACTTCCTGGCTCATGCTCATCTTCCAGATTGAAGTCCAGATGTCACCTCCCCCAGGAAGCCTTCCTGGACTTCCCCCAGGCTGTGTCAGGAAACTCCCCTGGGCTCCCACAGCCCCTTGACTCCTAGTTATGGGGGACTGTGAGTGGTAATTTGTCTGTCGTTCCCAGGAGACTGGGCGCTCCCTGTGGGCAGGAACCTGGTGTGTTCTCCTCTGGCACGAAGACTCCCAACACGTATTTATGGAATGAAAGAACAGTGAATGAAAGGCTGAGGCTGCTTCCCCCACTTCTCCAGTCCCAAGATGCAGGCAGTGAAATAATCACAACAGCAGCAGCAGCAGTGATAATAATAACCACTATGCTAGACTCTAAAGCAGGGGTCAGCAAACGTTTTCCTTAAAGAGCCAGATGGTAAATGTTTGCCTTTGTCCAAAGTCTCTGCTTCTGTCACAACTACTCAGTTCTATCCTTTTAGAAGAAAAGCAGCCACAGGTGATATGTAAATGCTGGGCATGGCTGCATTCCAATAAAACTTTATTTACAAAAGCAGCAGCTATTGCCTGATGATGGGTAGCCAGCACTCTGTCTGCTACCTGCTCCAAGGGCTTAAAAACGCGTAACATTTTCCCAACACCCTATGAGGCAGATTATCCCCACTTTGCAGATAAAGAAACTGAGGCTCAGAGAGAGGAAATGACTCACTCAGTCACACAGGTAGAAAATGTCAGAACTAGGATTTGAACCTGGGCATGCTGGACTCTAAAGCCTGGCCCCGTAATGCTAGGCTGTGCTTGCCTCCCGAGGGGCTGTGCCAAGGGGACATACACATCTACTTCCCAGGAACCAGACTCAGGCTGGGGGTAGGAGACCTCAGTCACCTCACAGTAGAAGAAGGTTTGTGGAGGGATCTGCCAAACTAGAAAGGTAGCAGTGTCGGGTGAGAGGTGGCTGAAAAAAATCAAGCCCCGTGCCCTGCAGGCTTCAGGGCGTGGGAGCCCAGGTCCCTGCCTGCCCCTTTGTGCTGGCTGGCCTG